CAAGTCTCCTTTTATCACCATTTATCTTCCCTTTATCTTCTTCTACCTCCCCGACCCTTTCCCTCTGGTAATCACCATACTGTTGTCTGTGTCTATGAGGTTTTCCCCCTACACAGGTTTTTCCTATTCTGGGGGGGAAGGGAGGCCGGGGAAGCTACAAAGGATGTTTATTAGTAAGAATTGTCAATGCCATGAAAGAGAACCCTGATAGAGAGAACATAATGAAAGGCTGGGAGGATTACCCCACTGGAGATGCCATCATTTTTATAGAAAAAGGCAAAAAACCATCAAGCTGGGAACAGCACGTTCTTGCTGGAGAAAACTGTGTCTAGATGTTGTGCATGCCCTCACAAGATTTATGACAGGGCCCATCAAATAAAACACAGGAGAGATTGTGGATATGACCCCCTCCCCCCAAAAAAAAGGTGGGGGGTAAAGGATTTCAAGAGAGGGATCTTGGAGAAATGCAAGAGCTAACAGACCCCACCCAGAGGATTTAACAGGAGACAACTTGATGGAGATGAGTGCTTCTGAACCTGTAACCAGATGATGAGAAAGATGTCGACGCAGCACCAGAAAACAGATTGACATCAGACCACCAACAGAAGGGTTCTGATGATTCAAGACTGCTCCTGACTTCTTTTACAACTTGGATCCTTCTGGGATATGGCACCGGCACTACAGCAGAATGGGTTCCGTACAGAAACATTTTTAGAGAAATAAAAAAGCAAAAATGTCGGGCAGAAATGACAATGTATTTCTGTAAAGTTACACTGAGTGTGCCTGCGTCCACTTCCTCCTTTCTTCTGCCTCTGCTACCCCTGGGACAGCAAGACCAACCCCCTCTTCCTCTGCCTACTCAATGTTTAGACAATGAGAATCAAGACCTTTATAATGATCCACTTCCATTTAACAAGTAATATATTGTCATAACACAGTATAGTTAATAAGCTTATTTGTTGTGTGTGGTGTGTGATCCCTGTGAAAATCTAATAACTGTGAAACATTTTTGTGTCCTCACTATGGCTTGAGTATTCATTGAGTGCAAGACTTGCATGGAAGTGCATAGCTTAGCCTTATAGAGGCATAACGTGATATTTCATATAAAAATAATGTGTTTTCTTATTTTATGACTTTGCTTTCAAAGAATTAATTACTGTACAGTATGCTGCCCCCTCTTAAATGGAGAAACTTAACCAACCTATCATCACAGGTAAGTAGTATTTTTTATTTTATTTATTTTTTAAATTTATTTTTATTTATTTTTTAATTAATTTTTTTATTTAATTATTATCTGTGTACATATCTTACCATTGGACCCCCCCCCACTGCCATACATGCCCTCCCTCCCCAGAGTTCTGTGTCCATTGGTTGTACTTATATGCATGCATACAAGTCCTTTGGTTGATCTCTTATCTCCCCCAGATCTCCCTACCCTCCCTGCTGTAATTTGATAGTCTGCTTGTTGCTTTACTGTCTCTATATCTATCTTTTGGTTCATCAGTTTATAATGTTCTTTATTATCCATAAACGAGTGAGGTCATGTGGTGTTTCTCTTTCATTGACTGGCTTTTTCACTCAGCAAGATGTTCTTCAATTCCATCCAGGTTGCTGCAAATGGTAAGAATTCCTTCTTTTTTATGGCAGCATAGTATTCCATTGTGTAGATGTACCATAGTTTTCTGATCCAATCATCTGCTGACAGGCACCTAAGCTGTTTCCAAATCCTAGCTATTGTAAATTGTGCTGCTATGAACATAGGGGTGCATATATCCTTTCTGATTGGTGTTTCTAGTTTCTTGGGGTATATTCCTAGAATGGGATTACTGGGTCAAATGAAAGTTTTATTTTTAGTTTTTTGAGGAAACTCCACACTGTTCTCCACAGTGGTTGCACCAGTCTGCATTCCCACCAGCAGTGCACGAGGGTTCCTTTTTCTCCGCAACTTCACCAACACTTGTCGTTTGTTGATTTGTTGATGTTGGCCGTTCTGACAGGTGTGAGATGGTACCACATTGTTGTTTTGAGTAATATTTTTTAAAAAGTAACAATGTTTCCAATACTGTATTCAGACTGTAATACTGAATGCCATAGAAATTTTATAATGATATTTTTATTTGTGTAGAGGCTAAGCTACTGTGAAGCAATCATATCCATCACAATAGGCTCCCATAAAGCAATCATTATGCTGCTTTTTTTTTTTTATCAATGCATGAATCATTATACTTGTAAATGAATATGGATTTCTTTTTCACATTGTATTTTCATTTTTGATGTTTATGTTAATAATACATGTAACATGTACAGTGTTTTATATAAGACAGTATTTATGAAGGTACTGACAGATGATTCATCTGATAAGCAGGTGACATAACTAACAATGTTGGCAAATACAGTAAATGTATATCCTCTTTCTTGTGACTGTCTTAATACATTTTCCTTTCTCTAGCTTACCTTATTGTAATAGAGTATACAATGCATGTAACATACAACACATGTGTGAATTAACTGTTTATGCTATCGATAAGGGTTCCAGTCTACAATAGGCTATTAGTGAAGATTCTGGGGAGTCAAAAGTTATACACAGATTTTTGACTGCACGGTGATGGGTGCCCCTAACACACCCGTTGTTCAAGGGTCAACTGTACTTCCTTTCCTGTATCTATGAGGGTATATGCATCAGCTTTCTACTCCTGCAGGGCATTCCTTTGAGACAAAGACACAGAGAAGGATACAGCTTCTCTCCTGCAGGGACTCACAATGTAGCCTAGGCTCAGACAAGGAAATAAGAAATATACCAGGGGAGAAGTGCTATAACAGAGATGTGAACAAGGACGATACAAGGAAAGAAGTTCCCCTAGCCAGTTTGGCTCAGTGGATAGAGTGTTGGCCTGCAGACTGAAAGGTCTCACGTTCGATTTAGGTCAAGGGTATGTACCTTGGTTGCGGGCACATTCCCAGTAGGAGGTGTGTAGGAGGCAGTTGATCGATGTTTCTAACTCTCTATCTCTATCCCTCTCCCTTCCTCTCTGTAAAAAAGCAATAAAATATATTTTGAAAAAATAAAAAGAAGGAAGTAACTGAGATATGATCCAGGAAGTTTAAGAGAGGAAAGGAAAGAAAGGAATTACCGGGTTTCAAACAGCTTGATTCTTGATAATGTCTCTCTCTCTAGTTTACAAGATCTGGAGCAGAAGTGGCAGCAAACATCTTCTCAAGTAGTGATATATGAAAACCACAATTCTCTTGACCTTATTATCATCCCTATCACTTGGCTTCTCTCCGCTGTGAAGGCTCTGAGCACGGCTGCCTGCCTCAGCCCTGGCTCAGGCCTTCTTCCTTCCACACGGCCAGATCTGCTTTTCCTGATGCTGAGATTGCAAGGCAGTGACTTTTGATCCCTGTTAACACTCAACGGATAATGTTCCTCTTTCAAGATATGGTCTCAAGTGTTCTCATTACAGTGGGTAGTTTTCTGGGCAGTGGCCTGAAGCCTGTCTTCTCTCTCACAGATCTCTCACCAGGTGCCCCACCCTGACTGGTGTTAGGGACCATTGCTCAAGTTATAATCCTGGATAGAGTTCTTTTTTCTCTCCCTCCCCTACATCTTGGTTATGTGTCAGGAACATTTTAAATAAAACCTTTCTTTGTATATGTGTGTGAATGATTGAGGGTGACCTACAGGCAAACCATTATTACTGCTAGTGGAATCTACAAAGATGCAGCAGAGGACAGATATATAAATATTATGTAATGGTGTACCTTTTTAATCCAGGAATTTTAAATATTTAACACTCTTACCATGTAGTTACATCAGTGATCTTAGGAATGAGACATCCCCTTTGCAAAAAAGCCCTCACTTTTCTCAGAAGACCCGTAACTGAAATGAAATCAATAAAAAGAAAAAGTGACTTTAAAGTAGTATGAAATGAAAAAGAAAGAAAGAAAGCAATGTCTAAAATTAAAATAATTTTCCTTTCTATCAAAAGTTTGCTTCAATCCATTGATTCATCAAGTATTTATTGGCACCCACCTGTGGGCCCAGCTCTGACTGCGGGTAGAATTTCAGCTTGGCCACTTGGGAGTTTAGAGCCTACTATCCTTGGGCGAGTTATTTGGCTCTGTATGCTGTAATTCCCTCTATAGAATGGATAGAAACGTGAGAATTATCTCCCAGGTTTCACATCAGAATTAAATAAGACAATGCATGTTATAATGCTCAAGAGTGTTTGACACCACATCAGTATAACAACCTTTATTTCCTTTCTGCTCTGCGGCTTAACGTCAAATATCTTCGAAGGACATGGAAAAATCCTCAAAGTGAAAATTTTGACTACATTAAGTTCTACCTAATGCCTCCTATATCTCTAAATCGGGGCATAAGGAGACCGATAGATAACCCTGAGTATTCATTGTGTGCAAGACTTGCATGGAAGTGCATACATAGCCTAGCCTTACAGAGGCATCAGGTGAGATTTCATATAAAAATAATGTGTTAATTTTAGTTCAGATAACCCAGGAGTAGTCTGAACTTCCGGCAGGGACAGGGGCAAATCCCCTCCTACTTTTCATCCTCCAGGTGTCTGTCCCTCTTAAGGATTGCCTGAGCCCTGCAAACGGATGGGCTTCTCAGACCTAAGTTCCAGGTCATCTCTAAAGATGCATCTCTCCGCCCACGCCCAGGTGTCTCCTAAACGCCCCTCTCCTCTCCTCGCGTTCCCGGCGGTCTCCACGCCCGGGCCCCCTCGCTGGGGTTTGCTACCCGGATCCCTTCCCGGACCGCCGCCTGCAGGGGGCCCCGCGCGCCCCTGCGCCGGGCGGGCGGGGAGGGGCGGGGCCCCAGCGCGCATGCTCCGGTGGCGGCGGTGCGTGGGCGGCGGGCGGGCTGGCGGGCGCCGGCGCAGGGCCCTCGCTCGCTCGGCGGGAGGTCCGGCTCTGACGTCGGTCTCGCAGCGGCGAGCGCGCGCCCCGGGCGGCGGCGACCTGGAGACCCCCGAGCGATGGAAGCGGCGGCGCCGACGGCGGCCGAGGCGGCGGGGCACGAGGAGCTCGGTGGGTGCCGCGTGCGGGTGGGCCGGGCGCGGGCCGGCGGGGCGCGGGATGCGCGGAGGCCCCCGGCCTGCGCTGTGGCCTGGGCCGGGGAGGCGGCGCGGGCGCCGGGGCCGCCGGGGCCCTGCCCGGGGTTCAAGCTGCCAGTCCCTGGACAAGGAGAGACACCTCTTCTCCCCCCCCCCCCCCCAAAAAAAAAAAAAAAGAAAAAAGAAAAAAGAAAGAAAGAAAGAAAAACGCCTGGCTGCTTCTGTGTGCCAGGCACCGTGTTAGGCACGGGTTTGACTTGCGAACCCAGCAAGGCAGACCGTCCCCAGGCATTTGGGACGAGCTGAGGCCTGGGAGGTTACTGACCTCCGTGTCCGGGTCTGCGGAGGGGTGTGTGTGTGTGTGTGTGTGTGTGTGTGTGTGTGTGTGTGTTCAACAAAGAGACGATAGGAATCTTTGTAGATTTAAGGAAAGACATTTTTATTGGGGCTCATGGGAGGACCTCGCCGGGAAGAGTTCCAAGAAGGGGATGTTTATGTAGGGGGGGAGGTGGGAGAGAAAAACACAGCCAACACCAGCAGTTCTATTGGTTACATCCGTTCAAGGATGAACAGTTTTCATCAGGTGGAGAGGATCTACAGGTAATACGGTCGCGGAGAACCTGTAATCAGGAGCCTTGGGAAGCAACTACGTTTACATTTTATCAGGATAAGGAAAGAACGGGCATTGCCTTCTATCAGTATTTACCTTTTTAATTGGAGCTGTTGGCGCGTACGTGGCCAGCGCCACGGAAGGCCTTGGTGAGGGTTTACGGTGTTGCCTTGGTTACGAGTCCAGTTGGAGCGGTGTGTGCGCTGGGGGTGGGGTGTGCTGTGCCCTGTGTGTGTGTGTGTGTGTGTGTGTGTGTGTGTGTGTGTACACATCACAGCTAATGGTTTCCAGCTGTCAAAGAGGAAACAAAAGTGGAGCTATTGCTCCTCTTAGTTAAATGCATTATATTTAGGGGATACATATATCTGTATTCCCTAATGAAATGTTAATGAAATAACAGATATTTATGTCAAGAGGGATATCCATTACAGTATTTATAATAGAGAAAAGCTGGTGACTATCTAAATATTCAATTAAAGGAAATTGTTTAGGTAAATTGTGGTATGGCCATAGAGCCATGTTCTGAATAGCCATTAAAAGTAATATGAGAAGATATCCAATGTATGTATTTTTTATTAACTGAAAAGAAAGGTTCCAGGTTATTTTAATTTTTAAAAAATTTATGTCTGTTTGTTAATTCAGCACATTCATTGAGCTGCTCCTCGGTGCCAGGCACTGGTTTAGGCATCTGGGGCACATTCATGAACAAAACAGATCAAGATTCTTGCTCTCATGGAGCTTATATTCTATTATATAATAGTAAGAGAAAGCAGACAGTACTCAGTTGATTATATAATATGTTAGGTGAAAAGTGCTATTTTGAAGAAATAAAAATGGAGAAATAAAAGCAGTGTAAGGGAAATGAGGAATGAGGAATGAGGGTGGGGGCTGAGAAGTTAGTAGTATTTTATGAAGTGGTCAGGATGGACCTTATTAAAAAGGTGAAATTTGAGCAAAGATTTGAAGAGGTGAGATGATTGGTCAAGTGGATATCTGGAGGAAAGACCATTCCTTGCAGGCCTGGTTGCCCCTAACTACCCTCCCCTGCCAGCCTGGTTGTACCTAACTGCCCTCTCCTACTGGCCTGGTTGCCCCCAACTGTCCTCCCCTGAGGCCTGGTCACCCCAATTGCCCTCCCCTGCTGTCCATTGTGTAATGGTCATCTTGTGTCCACATGGGGGCAGGCATCTTGTGTGTTGGGAGTGATGATCAATTTGCATATTACCTCTTTATTATGTAGGATATGTCTTTAGTGTTTATAGTATTCTTTGATATTTCTCTCATGATGAGGAACTTAGTTTCCTTCCCACTGAGTTATGGGCTGGATTTAGTAACTTGCTTCTAATGAATAGATTATGGTGGAAGTGAAAACGTGCGACTTCAGACCTCAATTCTAATTGGCATTGTGCCTTGCTCCCTCTCTTTTGGATTCGCTCACTTGGGAGGAGGCTGGCTACCACGTTATAAGAATCCTTACTCAGCCATGGGGAAGGACCCCCTTGAATGGAATGGAGGCCTCCTGACAATTGCCATGAATTGTTGCAAAGCAGTAGGTAATCAGGACGGATGGGTAAAGCCACAGGAGGAGCAAATTTGGTGGAGAAGACCAGGAGTTGAGTTTGGGGAAATGCTAAGTTTGAGATGTCTGTTAGACATGAAAGTGCAGATGTTGAGTAGACACTTGGATTGTTTCTGGAGTGAGTGAGAGGTCTGGTCTGGAGAAATAAATTCGAAGTCCTCAGCAAAGAGAGTATGTAAAGCCACGGGACTAGATGAGAACATGGAGGCTGGTTTGTTAATACTCTAAAATGTTACCAGTAGTACCTTCCAGGAATGAGGTAAATTTAATTACAAAAATGATGCTTATCTAAATATTTCCTGATTGTGTACAATGACCAAATGTTTCACTTAAAAAGGAATTTTAAAAATCATGTGTCTATGTAAAAAGCATTGGTGGAGAAGTTAAGATATAGGATTCCTTAAGCCAGTGGTCAGCAAACTCATTAGTCAACAGTGCCAAATATCAACAGTACAACGATTGAAATTTCTTTTGAGAGCCAAAATTTTTAAACTTAAATGTCTTTTAACGCCACTTCTTCAAAATAGACTCACCCAAGCTGTGGTATTTTGTGGAAGAGCCACACGCAAGGGGCCAAAGAGCCGCATGTGGCTTGCGAGCTGCAGTTTGCCGACCACGGCCTAACGTTGGCTTTCTAAATAGTGTAAGGTCTGCATTTCACTTCATAGACTATGGGGACCTCTGGAAAGTTTCTTGCTGTGCATATTTCTCCGCCTCAGAAATGAGTAAAATAGTAACTGTTCCCATCTTATATAGATACTAATTTATAGATTTAGTGGCAATATTATGTTATTTTAAAAATAAATAAACTTTTTTACTTTTCATTTGTCTATTGACAAAATATAAATAAATGATTTTCTTTATTTTGATGTTATAAAGTAGCCAAATTGATTACTTATTATTTTTTACATTTTCCAGAGAAAACCATACCCAGGATCTCATTGTCCATTTGAGATCCTTGTTAACTTATTAGCATTTTGATATATTTTGTGTCTTTCGATTTTATTTAACTTTTTAAAACATTATCCCCTGAATGCTAGAAACAAATCATTTTAAAATGCTGAAAACAATTCTACCAACCTAAAATTCTGTACCCAACAAAAATAGTCTTCAAAAATAAAACAAGCAAAAAAAACAAACAAAAAAAACCCAAACAAACATTGTACTAATGCCGTGATTATTCAGCTTTTTCTCCACTCAACATATGATACACTTTTGCCTGTTTTATCAGACTTCAAAACCATAATTTAATGTTATTGTAATACTTTACAAAGTGGATGCATTTTGTAGTTAATTTAGCAATTTCCTGATTGTTGCACATTTAGGTTGTTTCCTCATTTTTAACAGAAATTATGTTTCATTTAACATCTTTGTGCAAAAATTCTTTTCTTCATCTAGCGTTTCAGAAGTGGAATTATCAGGTGAAAAGAATAAACATTTTAAGGTTTCAGTGCATATTGCTAATTTGTGATTTTTCTGATTAAAATTGGAAGTTTAGGTTGACTTTAGTTTAGGAAATTGAGGTTGAAATTATTATCTGAACAATATAAGACCGCATCTGCCACTAATGTGTACATATAGGTATAATATATAGTGTATAATACTGACTAAAGCAATGTCCATTTATAAGTTTTCCATATGTAAATAGGAATAATTAGGTCTTGACATCCATTGTTTAGTAGTATTTTATAAAGCAGTGTTAACTTTTACTTACAGTAATCACATAGCATTTTGAGAGGTTTCAATTCAGCCCTTGATCAAAAATTACAGCAAGACATTGGCAAATAATAGACTTTATATATAATGCAAATTGGATTTTATAATTTTTAATTACTTTGTATGATTTTATTTCTTATGTTTTAACTGTTAAAGCTTTTACTATGTTAGGTTTGCTTAAGTATTTGACTCCTTTACTAGTATATTTCTTTCTGGCTGGCATAACACATTTTGTTTATTTTTGTAGACTCAGTATTAGCTCATAAATGCTCAGAATTATTACTAGTAAATTAATTTCTTGTCACAGCATTCTGTGTAGCATAATTTGCTTCTAATATATCATTTTATTAGAAGGGGAAGGAAACTAGTAGTTATTGATTACTATGTGCCAGGGGCTAGGTTCCATGCTTCATATACATGTCAACTCATTGTCGTGAAACCCTGTGAAGTAGAAGTTATTACTCTCATTTGACACAATGCAGAGATAGTAGGTCCAGAAAAATCCTGGTTAAAATATAAATCAAATCATGCCATTCCTCTGCACAAAACTCTCTACTCTGATGTTGTCTAGTATGGTAGCCTTTAGTTATATATGCATTTGAAATGTGGTTTGTCCAAATTAAAACAGACTGTATATATAAAATACACTCCGGATTTCCAAGACTTAGTACGAAAAATAGAATGTAAAATATCTTGTTAATAATCTTGTATATTAATTACATGTTGAAATGATAATACTTCAGATATATTGGATTAAATAAAATATATCACTAATTTCACTTGTTGCTGTTTTCCTTAAGAAACATGGATACTAGAAAATTTAAATTATGTTTGTGGCTCACATTGTATCTCTGCTGGTCAACACTGCCTAGTGGCCTTCATGTCCATTGGTGTGGTCTCCACGGCTGTATACCATCAGCCTTGTCATGCTCTGATCTCCTCTCCCACTGCACTCCCCTCGCTCACTCCTCTCTGGCCACTGGCCACCTTCCTACTCACACACCAGACTCTCCACATCACTAGAGGCTTTGCCTTTGTTCTTCCCACTGCCTGATTGCTCTTCCCTGAGGTGGCTGCAGTGTTCACTCTCACCCCGCCTTCAGGTCTTCTTTAAAACTCACTTTCTCAGGGACTATCTTGATGTGAAATTACAGGCTCCACCTTCCTTAACCCAAACCAGGCTTAAGTTTCTCTTCTAAGTGTCCCAGAGCACCCTGTAACAGAGTTTAACACATCATACTGTGCTAGTAATGGTCAATTTTACTTGTACACATTCTCTACTAACTGATAGGAAAGATGTTAAAAATTTGTGGCTGTAAAGGATACATAGAAGTTTTGTACTATTCTTGAAAATTTAATGTAAATTTTAAAGTATTCAAAAATAAAAAGTTTTAAAAGTTATGTTAGTCATTTCCAACTAGATCATTTTGTTTGCCTCAGCTCTTTATTATGTAGGTTTATTGTATTTGAATGAAACAAACTTTCATGTCCATAAACTATCCTGTATTTCAGACTTTACTAATGCTTATCAGTCATCTCAATAAATCTGAATTTAGTAAATTTTACTAGAACAGGACCGAGTGATGGCTAGTTGCTTTTCTCCTTGAAAGGAGCAAAATCATGCTAAAAATGATATATATATATATATATATATATATATATATATATATATGTGCAAATTTTGGTTCTAAAAATGTAATGGTTGGAATGGATTTATAATTTTAAGTATTTGAAAATATTACTTGTATATATAGTATGATTTGAAGATAAGGTAAAAATTCATTTTGTTATTTCTTCACATTTCTCATAATTCTATGACCTTTACTGTAAACCTCATGTAGACAAAGCAGAAAACATTTTCATTAAATACTTATTTGTTACTGCTTAGTCCAAAAAATATCTAGCAAATAAGTGTAGTTGTTTCTTTTTAAATATACTAAAACTCAGGATATTACTGTGCATTAACTTACGGTAAAAATAGTAAAGATGAGTACCAGTGGTATGTACTACTTAAAAATTAATTTATACTAGCTTTATCCCACTTTTTAAAATAATAGTGGGTTATTATTCTTTGTTTTCTCTTTAAAGATATGGATGTAATGAGGCCCTTAATAAATGAGCAGAATTTCGATGGGACATCAGATGAAGAACATGAGCAAGAGCTCCTACCTGTTCAGAAGCATTACCAGCTTGATGATCAAGAGGGCATTTCGTAAGTGTTATGGTTTACATGTCTTCTTTTCATTCAGTATATATTTTTTAATCGTCTATGGGCAAGGGACCTGCTAGATACTACAGAAGACACAAAGATGGATAAAACATAGTTTCTGCCCTCCAAGGTGATTATAGTCTATTTGGAAAGAACAAATACATCTAAAATTACAAAGCAGTGAATAGGAATTACCAAAGTTGATACATATCAAAAGTTAATGATCTTGAAGGGTGATCTTATTGAGAGGAACATAAATTTTAAGAGCAGTTGCTTCTGAAATAGGAGTTAGATCGTGGAAGGTAGATAGTATAATAAACCCTTCTTTATGCAGTTGAACTTTTAAAATTTTTTATTATTTTATCATTAATAGATTTAAGTAAGTTCTTATTCTAGAAGTAATTAATGATTTAGCAAAGTAATGTTTTAATTGATAAGAAAAGAATAGCATAGATTTAAAAAGTTTAAGCATTTCTATTTCCTAAGTTTAAAGTTTATGTTAGTCTTCCTAGTTTAGTTTTACTTGATCAAGAGACCTCCTTCAAATGCGTCTTTAGAGGAAACTTTTTTTAGGTGAAACCCCTTAGGGAGTTTATAGTCTAAAAGTTAACCAGTATTTATCTTATCTGATGATACACATTGTTTTAAAACTTGTATGTTTTTTCTTTTAATTAACTTCCTCTTATGTTCATCATAGATCATAGATCCTATATGTTTAGTACCATAATTACATAGACAATGTCAGTAAATTGCTGTCTTACCAACCTAGCTATATAATCTTCAGTATTGTTCTGAATATAATAGCAGCAAAGAGACTTGTGAGAAAATTACCTTTTCTTTATTACTTTAACTAGAGGCCTGATGCACAAACTTTGTGCAAAGGCCTTGGCCCTGGCCCCCACCTGCAGCCACCACGGCTGGGGGGCCTCTGCTACCTCTGCCTCAGCTTTGTCTGGAAGGAAGGACGTCTGGTCTGATTAGCATATTATGCTTTTATTATTATCGATATGTACAAAAATACTTTTACTTAAATATCTCATTTAATCTTTATAATGATACTAGGTTTTTTCTGTTATTGTATTTTTATTCTTTATTTTATTTTCCTGGTCAAGTTCTTAGGTAGTATTGAGAACTTTTTTTTTTTTTAAATAAATTAAAACCACTATTAAAAAATTCAATCAGTTGTATTTTACTTTTAAATGTCAAAGATGGGACTTGACTTGAACCAAATATGACTTTTGGCTCATTTAACTTCTGGTTGAATGGAGATTTTGATTCCACGCCTAGATTAATTTTTAGTTATCTCCTAATGCTAAAACCATGATCATGTGATTTTAATAGCTTTTGTTCTAAAATATTTGAATCTCACAACTTTTACTTTTCAGATTTTTACAAACTCTTATGCATCTTCTTAAAGGAAATATTGGAACTGGCCTTTTAGGACTTCCATTGGCCATAAAAAATGCAGGCATCGTGGTAAGACTTATCATTGTGCTCTGTAGTTACCATACAGCTGTCAGCCTTAATTTACAGCAAAAATTACCACCAATTAACATCTGGCCTAGTCAACTAAAACATGGTCAGGTGACGAACAGTAATCATTCAGCCATTGTATTGATAAAGTAATGGCAATTATGATAATAGTTTCTAACCATGACAGTTAATTACTCTTTGCATTTCAACTTAATTAGTAATATGTATTATTTGACAGAAAGATCCTAAAATAGTATTTTAGTTTATAGGCATGTTTATATCTTACTATTATTGGATTTTTAGGGATTTACTAGTAAGCAGTATACACATACAACACGTTTATTTATAGAGAAGTTTATTTGTATTAGTGAACTTATAGTTTTTTAGATTCAGAATAAAATACTTAGTTTTCAGATTTAAAGAAAAATAGTTTAAAAAAAAAGGAATAACATATTCTGAAAACAAATATTTAAGTATTAGAACCAATTATTATAGTTGCCGAGACTCTAGAGAGGGGAGAATTCACTTAAGAAGTAATGAAATTATATTTAACCCTTTTTTAAATGACCAGTTTTCTAAAAAACAATTTTAATGTCATTCTTCTCTGCATTTGAATTTGTTCATGCTAATTTAGAGAAACTTAAAATTTTCCAATTGTAAAATGAACTTTGGCAATATTTTGTCTGTGTCTCAGAAACCCAGAATAACTTCAATTTTAGTAATACTTTGAAGTTTATGTACCATTTTTTCAAATAATTATTTTCTAGGCACAGTTCTTCACACATAGTAAGTGCTCAATAAGCAGTCTATAGAAGTGGATTGTCCACAATCCCAGATTGATAAGAGTGCTGTTTTAGTCATTCAGTGGTTGCCAACAAGTGGTCTGCGGACCACTGGTGGTCTGTGAGGTCCGAAAGGTTGGCAACCGCTGATTTAGATAATGATTCATAGTTGCATGTAATTATTTTGGTGGGGCACTGGTTGTGTAGACATGCCATCTCATGTTAAGTAATATGTATTCTGTCCTATTTGGTGGCATATCTATCTGTACTCTGTATTCATAAGTTTAGACAGCCCAGTTGATAAGATGGAATTATATGTGGTTAAGTATTACTGGAATTCTTTTTATATTTTATTAGTTTTTCTATATAAAAATAATTACTTAATCATTTTGTCCAACAAATATTTATTGGCAAATTCGTGGTTTGTTTTTATTGCTTATAAGGCAACTTAAATTTTGTGATACTTACATATTTAAACCTTATAATTTTTCCCCTACAGCTTGGACCAATCAGCCTTGTGTTTATAGGAATTATTTCTGTTCACTGTATGCACATTTTGGTACGTTGCAGTCACTTTCTCTGTCAGAGGTAAATGTGGATTCATTAAGTCTATTTAATTTATTTTGAAGCTGTGTAATTATTTAAAGTAATAGATAGTCTTATATTTCTACATTGCTTTGCAACTAGCATTTGTGTTTCCTGTAATCTGTTATAGAAACAAGTTTGAGATAATGAATTTGGAAAATGGTAGCATTTTATATGGTTGAAATCTGGTCAGAATATATTCACTTATTTTAAAATATAGCCTTGCCCTAGCCTATGAATATAGTGGTTAGAGCAAAGGCCCACGCACAAAAGGCTGTGGATCTGATTTCAGGGACATGTATCTGGGTCGTATGTTCTATCCCCAACCCTGGTTGGGGCTCTTGTGGGAGGCAACCAATCAATGTGTCTCTCACATTGTTGTTTCTCTTTCTTATGCTCTTCTCTTCTCCCCCCCATCCTTTTATCTTCCCTCCTCCCCCCTCTCCTTCCTTCTTTCCCTTCCACTCTCTCTGAACGTCAGTGGAAAAAATACCTCAGGTGATGATTAACAAAAAATGATAAAGTAAAATTTAGCCTTGTTGGCCTTGGCTTGGTAGCTCAGTTAGTTACGGTGTCATCCTGACACACCAAGGTTGCAGGTTCAATTTCCAGTCAGGGCACATACAAGAAGCAAGCAATGAATGCATAACTAAGTGGAACAACAAATTGATGTTTCTCTCTCTCTTTCTCTCTCTCTAAAAATAAATCAAATAAAAATATTGCCGTATTAGTCATAGAATGGTTTCTTTTATGAGAAAATCAGGAAAGATATATGGGGAAATGGAGGAAGCAGTACTGCTTTTAGTTAGAGTGTAATGATCTCCAATTTGTTAGTAATTCAGTTTGGGGTATAATGACTGATGTCTTTGCTGATATGTGGATTGGTAGATAGTTCATAAAATAATATCCTTTTTAAAATATATATATTTTATTGATTTTTTACAGAGAGGAAGAGAGAGGGATAGAGAGCTAGAAATATCGATAAGAGAGAAACATCGACTAGCTGCCTCCTGTACATCCCCTACCAATGTACATGCCCTTGACCGGAATCGAGCCTGGGACCTTTCAGTCCGCAGACTGATGCTCTATCCACTGAGCCATACTGGTTTCGGCATATATCCTTTTTTCTTTATCTTTTATCATGAAATACTTCTACTTTACAATGGACCACTTTTAAAAAAATAAATATTGTCTATTCTAGTTAACCAAAATTCTTTGTTATTGTTGTTAATCCTCATCCAAGGAAATTTTTTCATTGATTTTTTTTTTTTTTTTTTGACATAGTGGAAGGTTTGGGGAGAGCCTAGAGAGAGAAACATCGATGTGAAAGTGACACGTCGATTGCTTGCCTCCCGCATGTGCCCTAATAGGGGCTGTGGATGGAGCCTATAACCACGGCTCTTGATTGAGCCAAACTGGCTAGGGATAGTAAACTAATATGGGGTAACTTTAAGGATTAAAGAAGATAGGTTATGTGAAAATAATTATACAGATGTATTAAGTAATGCTATTCTAAGAAGGGAATAATTTAATCATGAACAATGTTTTCAGGTAATGGAAATTTTCAAATCCATGGAGCACAACTATTGTTATATCAATTCTACAAATATGTAAACTTCAACAGTAGATAAAACTAATATATTGGTAATAAGGACTGATAAAATTTTTAAATTTCATGAGACATACTTTATGCAGATCTTGAAATTTAAAAAACTCTCTCTGGACATACCCCTATAGTCATTAATTCACATTTATTTGATGTTCTTTTGAAGGAAAGGATTTATGAACCTACTTGAATTTATTTTCATATCCATGTATGTCATTAAATTACAGGTTTAAAAAGTCAACATTAGGCTATAGTGACACTGTCAGCTATGCTATGGAAATAAGCCCTTGGAATTGTCTTCAGAAGCAAGCAGCATGGGGACGGCAAGTACTTGTTATATTGTTGATATCTAGTTATTGAAATTACATTAATTTTAAGTATTTTAACCTATAAATACTGTCAATTTATACATGAATAAAAGTATGATAAAGTTGGGGGAATAAACATAATCTTTTTTTTAAAATATATTTTATTGATTTTGTACAGAGAGGAAGGGAGAGAGATAGAGAGTTAGAAACATCGATGAGAGAGTCATCGATCAGCTGCCTCTTGCACACCCCCTACAGGGGATAGCCCGCAACCAAGGTAATGCCCTTGACCGGAATCGAACCCTGGACCTTTCACTCTATCCATTGAGCCAAACCAGTTTCGGCAATATAATCTTTAGAGTTAGACTTGAGATCAGATCTCAACTCTACCATTTTTCAATTTTATGACCTTGGACAAATTATTTTGTTTTAGTTTTCTCAATATCAAATGAGTTTATAATAATACTTGCTTCACAAGCTTACTACAGTAGTTTAAATAAAGTAATATTTATGAAGCACCTGGCAAACTTCTATAATAATAAAAATGTAACATGATAATTAGACCAGACGTCCTTTCGGACGACCTGCCAGATGAAGCCGGGTCTGCGAGGGAAGCCCAGGTCCCGGGTGCCAGAGGGAAGCCTGTGCCTGCAGCTGGGGGGAAGGAAGGCCTCCTCTTGCACAAATTTTATGCATTGGGCATTTAGTGTGATATAATCATGTTCAGTAATTTTTCAAGTAAAAGAAAACATTTTTCAAGAAAAGAAAATTATGCTGTTTAACTACATGCTTAGAAGACATCTGAAGTATGCATTTTAGGATATTCTTATCTTACTGGTTAAATATAATTCTATCATTGGTGGACATGGTTAATCAAAGCCCGGAAAATAAGCATAGGTGATCAACAAAATGCTGAGTTTGGTACAAATTATATGTGCAGTGAAAATTAAAAGAAAAGAAAGAATAGTGCTAATTTATGGTTAAATGTGGCCTTTCTAGGGATTTTCAGGAGTTTAGATATATTTATGAGCTGCTCAGAGTTCTTAATATGCTGAGTAGGAAAAGGAAGAAAACATTCTCAGGCCCTAGGGATTTTCCCCAAGAACTGTATCTTCCTCCTGTTTCAGTCCACAGGCAGCTGTGTCATGTTTTTTTAATCAAAAGAATGACTTCACATTGAAGTGGTTGGAATGATTTTTGGTGGGATACTAATGTCAAAGATAAATGAAGAGATCGTAAGGTAATACTTAAATGTAATTCATCAGAGAGAAGAAACCTGAATTCATTTCGGGTACAAAAATTACTTCCAAAAGAGGTACCTGAAGAACCATGGAGAACTGTAGAGATAGGGCCAGAATGAAGATATAGGCAAGGGCTCTTTTAGTTTCAAATGGCAGAAGGAGGGTCTGTAGATTTGTAGACCGGATTATTTGACAGCTTGACACTGATGATCAGATGATAGACTATAGTGAATTAGTAGGTGCATGCTATTGTAGTCATTTATTGTTCCCAGAACAAAATTGAGAATCTTGCCTAGCCTAGTGGCTCAGTTGGTTGAGTGTTGTCCTGTACACCAAAAAGGTTGTGGGCTTGAATCCTGCTCAGGGCACATACATAAGTTGCCAGTTTGATCCCCAGTTGGGACATATACAAGAGGCAATTTATGGATGTTTCTCTTTCGTGTTGATCGTTCTCTCTCCTCCCCCTCTCTAAAATCAATAAAGATATCCATGGGTGAGGATGAAAAAGATGAGAAGTATGGGCTATATATTAACATGTAGACAAATTTGTGACTTGATAAACTGCCATACCCAAATAATGCTATTTTGGTGATATCTCTTTCCCTTCCTCATACACTGTTTTGTGTAGCTGGAATTTTATAGATAATCTCTTCAGAAAATAAGGACAGAGCTAAGCTATTGAAGAGGTCTCTGATGGCATGATTAGGGCCATGCCCTCAGTCCTCTCCTATTCCATATTATTAGTGATTTGATAGTAGAGAGTGATATTTGCAAATGACATGAAGATGGGAGGCTTTGGAAATACACTGGGTTAATCTGAAAAACATCTTGAGAAGTAGAAGAGATATGATTAATTTAAAAGAAGAAATGTTTTCATTAAATCATTTTATAAGTATATACTCACAAACTGTTGAATTTCAGAAATCAGTGATGGGAAAATTTTGGCCTTTTAACTTAATGAAACAATCTTTTGCTCAGTAGTAATTGTAGTGATATACTGATCATAAAAGTGTGCTTTTTGTAGAAAATAAATATTTTAATTATTTTTTATATTAAGGATGTGAAAAGAACATACACTATTATAATGTTTTTAAGTAGTTAAAAAGAAAATATATATTGATATTTCAGCAGCTCTTATTAATACTCATTTGTGGGTATGTCTTTTTAGGAGTGTGGTTGACTTTTTTCTGGTGATAACACAGCTGGGATTCTGTAGTGTTTATATTGTCTTCTTAGCTGAAAATGTGAAACAAGTAAGTATTTTTCTCCAGTTATTGAAATCGTTTTCTTCAAATGCCATAATTTAGCATCATGTTTCCTCTGAGTAAGCCGTGGCCAAATATGCAAATGTGTTTCTTTCATTAAGCATGTTTCTTTGTAGATTTTCCTTTAGTTGGATTTCTGTTATTATTGCTGATCTTACTTTTCTTATCATTATATCAATAATGCTTGTTCATTCGGATCAGAACAGGACATAATTTACTGAGTCTTAGCTACCCGAAATTTAGGTACACAGATGTTCGGGAACATATTCTTTACATTGATGTTTTATAAAGACATACAAGGCTTTAGCCAGTGGCCTAAAGAGTGAAGTACAAAAGTGGACATTACTAAAATGCAACAATTATTGCCATGGTCTAAAGAGATGCTGTGTCCAGGAGTGTACAGTGTTCTTTAATTTTCTCCATATGTAAATGTTTGCTTTAAGAGGAAGTGGTTTGCAGTCTTAATAGAGACTGTTGATTTGAACAAATATGCAAAGCACTGAAATAAAAAAGCTCCTCTATCAAAACAGTGATAGAGCACATTTCTTTATGTGCTTTCACTGGTAGTTTGTCTTTATTATTCCTACATTACACCCTGCTCTTTCAGTATTTTAATTAATAGCATTTATTATCCACATGTGTATGGTGCAATATTAGGCATTTTACATAGGAATATGTAGTACTTATCTTCTAGGTATTTTAATGCAAAATTATAACGTGACTGTTTTCTAAAGAATCTGTATGTATACATATAAGTATATCTGACTTATATTTCTAAGTATAAAGAATATTTTATATTTAGACCAAGGATTGGCAAACTTTTCTGTAAAAGGCCAGATAATAAGTATTTTCAGTGTTGCTGAACATATGGCCTTTATTTCAACTTAGCTGTAAACAACAATACATAAGCAAATAGATATGGCTGTATTTCAGTAAAATTTTATTTGCAAAAATAGGCTAGATTTGGTCTTTGAGCCATAGTTTGCTAATGTCAATGGCTTAGATTTCTAATGTTGGAAAGGCTTATTGAATCAAACCCCCTTTTATAAATGAGAGAATTGATGATTTCATTAGCATTACTCATTATAGATGATGTACTTTTAATTTTGCAAGTAGTTAATTTCACAAGTTGCATTTTCCTAGGACTACTAACTCAGTTGAGACGCTATTTATTGCCAAGAGCTGATAAGACATAACATCTTACCAATCATTTATGTAGAATACAATGGAAATGATGCCTTTCTAGGATTGTGCAACATGTAGTATACTGTATCTTTTTTATTATCTCCTAACAGCAACCAAAAAGCTTGATTTGAATTTATGAATAATGAATAATGCTAATGATGCCTTATCATTTCATATTTATAAGCTATGACATATCATTTAATCTTTGCAACTACTCTGTAATGTAATGTTAGTACTATGCTCATTTTATGAATGAGGAAACTGAATCTTGCCATATGTGAGCAATGTGCCCTATAAATTAGGCTGAAGTCTAAGTCTGACATAGCTACCACCCATTATGTTCATTGCTCATCACTGGACAGAACATTGTCTGATTTTAGTTGTGTGTGTATGTGTGTGTGTGAGACCTAAATAGTATGTAAAGTACATAAAATGAATATCTGAAGCTTAGTATTGGTGATATTCTCCTATAAAATACTATCAGTTGCTTCCAAAGGTAAATAGAAGAATTTAACACATTTGCACATGTGCTAGAATACCAGGTAGAAAAACGATGCTCTGGGAGGTAAGAAGAATGCCTATTATGGATAGAAAGATGAAAGGCCTTGTGAGAAATAAAGGGCAACATGGAAAAAGACATTCATTGAGACTTGAGAAAAATTGAAAGGAATGATGAACATGTCACCTCGGCAGAGCAGACAGTCACTGAAACAGCAGCATCAGAGATTTCCACTTTCTCCAGAGGTGCTCACATTTGATAGCAGTCTGCGGTAGTTGGATCAAACCTTATCAACACACAGTTGATCAAATCTTACCAATTACTACTACCATTACAGCAGCGGTAACCATAGTTAACCAGGGGTAACTACAGCAGCGGTTCTCAACCTGTGGGTCATCATGAGAATCACTAGGAGGGTCACCTAAGACCATCAGAAAACACAGATATTTACATTACAATTCATAATACTAGCAAAATTACAGTTATGAAGTAGCAATGAAAATAATTTTATGGATGGGGGTCACCACAAATGAGGAACTGTATTAAAGGATTGTGGCATTAGAAAGGTTGAGAACCACTGCTCTAGAACATTTCAGAGAGATGAAATAGTATATAAGGGCCTTGTGAGAAATGAAGAATAGGGAAGGGATATTAAGAAAAAAAAATTTTGGTATGGACTTTAGAGTCAAAAGATTTGAATTCAAATCCCTGCTCTCTCAGTTTTACCTCAATCATTGGGAAAGATCACCTTATCATTACTCAAGTCTCAGTTTCCTTGTTTGTAAAATGGGAATAGTAATAAAAGCTCCCCTCGTTCCCATATTGGGAGGCTCAGCTGTCAAGAGTTGTAAAGCCTTTGTAAACTGTCAAGCAGCATACCAATGTAGGGGATTATGGCTTTGATTTTGATTTTAGCTTTGCCGAAAAACATAACCTGCCTTTGGAATTTTAACCATTAGACTACTGAATAATTGAAAAAAGTTAATAAGTAGTGATTTTTAGTCAATTTGAGCTCTAACTGGAAACAATTGAATTTAGTAATTTTATTTTATAATATTTATTTCAGTGTTTTGCATTTTGGTAAACATGTGAGATCATAGGAAGTCCTATTAGATAGCCAATCTCTGTCTCTAGAGGGCACCAAAGGACTCAAATGTTTACCTGAATCTTGCTCTAGGTATGTATCTACATTTTTATTTTATTTTTTAATCCTGAAAATTTTTATGATCATTGTTCTGCCAAAGAATACTAAATTATGAGATATTTGTGATAGAATTAATTTCAGATTCCCAAGCACCTCATGATTCAAAAAAACCATTTTTAAAACTGGTTATGTAACTGCTTTTCTCTTGCCAGTTGTCCTTGTTAGTACCTAACTTTGATCAATATGTAATCTGATTATTGGAGTTACTTCTTTGATGCAAAAGTTTTTGGCTCTGAATAATTTGGTTACTGAGAAAATTGAGTCAACAAATAAAATATCTTTTTAAGAGCCAAGTATTGTGAATTATCAGTTTAGTATCTATTTCAATTATAAAAAATAAAATATAAAGTTTTGATGGCCACTTACAAGATTAATGTGAGATAAACATTTCTTAAATGGTATATGGTATAACCTGACAGTTTGTTAATCCAGTATGAGTAAGAAATTGCCTGTATAATTTAAAACTAGAAGATATTCCATGCAGTTGAAGATGATTTGTACATTTTTAAGTGTTTATTGTGGATTATTAAGATTAAAATTAAAATTAACACTTGAATTGTTAATCACATGAGAATTCTGTCCTGAACTTCTGATTTGTTGGCCTGTTAATACTTACTTTGTTTAGAGGGAGAGATGTTGGAAGGGAAGCCAGATGCCTACTTGGGCAGGGCGGCAGTATTTTATCAGGTCAGCATGTAGCTCTTACAAGCTAGATTCTGGAGTCTCAAGCCTAGGTTTGAATTCTTGAACCAACACTTATTGACTTGAAATTATGTAAGTTTTTTTTACCCTTCATAAACCTCAGTTTCCTCAACTATAAATAGAAATTAATACTACCACCCACTTCACAGAGTTGTTTTGAGGATTGAATGAGATGCTATATAGATATATAGAACGTACTCTATTAAAAATACTTTTTATTAGTATAAGATCTGGCTCTTGAAATTTTATGTATTCAGAAATTTGATAAGTTATGCTCAAAGGAGTGTACAGTGTTGGGGGCATATAGGTTTTCACTGGTATTTAAATTATGGTAAGATCAGTCTCTGCTGTGAATTTTTAAAATTTTTAAATTGTTTTTATTTTATTTCTTTATGTTTTATACGTTTTATTGATTTTAGAGAGAGAGGAAGGGAGAGAAATCTACAATTGTTTTTAAAGTTCTCTATCATTTCATTACAATATTAGTGAGTTGGGTTATATGATTAATTGAATCAGAGAAACATTTTAATACATGGATCCTATAAAATATTGTATCACTTTTGAAAACTGAATACTAGTTTATAAAAGTGGCTGAATTAATTTTAAGGTAGAGTTGATTTATCTTAAAGAAGGTTTTTTCTTTAGCAAAAATTTATCTACTGTCTAACATATGGCCATGCATGAATTAATGGATTCTTAATAAATACTTATTGATATGATGATAATGTAAAAACAACTGATTTTTATAGCAGTTTTAAAGCTACTATGATTTCTAAATTTTATTTGGGCTACTGTATTTCTAAGAGACACTGGAGCTTTCTTCTGTGAAGAAAGTAAGCCGAAGTAGCATCCCATTGGCCATTCTAGACAAGTAAGCCTCCTCTTTTGATGGTCTCAGAAGTAGTTTGAGCCTTTACAGGATCATGAAGCATCATGGTTAGTCACAAAGCTTCAAAAATATACTCATTTTTCTGTTCACAATATCTTAAAAAATATTTTGCAAAGAAGAGTATCCTATTTTAATATCCTTAAATTTAATATATATATATTTCTGGGAAACTAGCATCTTAAAAGTAAATATTGTAAAGGAATTTGTCACTGAGTGTATAGATCATAAGTTTCTTTTATAAGTTGATGGAAATTTTTTCCCACCCTCTTTCTTATTCTCTTAATAATCCTGTGTAGATTCATGAAGGATTCCTGGAGAGTAAAGCGCTTGTTTTTAATAGCACCAATTCATCAAATCCATGTGAGAGAAGAAGTATTGACCTAAGGATATATATGCTTTGCTTTCTTCCATTTTTAATTCTCTTGGTCTTCATTCGTGAGCTGAAGAATCTGTTCATGCTCTCATCCCTTGCCAACATTTCCATGGCTGTCAGTCTTGTGATAATTTATCAATACGTTATTAGGGTAAGTATAACAAGTTTTCACTGTCATATGTTTCTTAATAAGTAAATTTTTTGTTTACTTTGAAGGTAAAAGTAATGTGTGAAGACCCCTACTTCACATGAGGCACACAGGAGATAACTAGAACACTTTGCTTTCCTTTTAGAGGATACTGCTGATTGCACAGTGTGTGACCTGGAGGTTTAAGTACAGGCTTCATAGTTAGATCTGGTATTGAAGCTTGGTAACTGTCTTTCTGGGCTTTATGGTATTGCTTCCAAAGGTAGTAATACTCTCCTATTAGAGTTGTGTGATTTAAGGTCACACACATGCCTAAGAACTTGCTAGTGTTTTCTTTATTCCTTTAAGATTTGAACCAATCACAAGAGATGGGAGTATAGATGTAGCTTTATAATTTTCTTCCACTTCTGAACCTTTTATTTGCTGCTACCACTTCAGTCAACTGACACTGCTGTAACCTCTTTATTGGAACTATGCAGTAACCTCAACTGATTCCATTGTTCATAATCTTGGGATTTTTAACCCACTTTCCTTAAAAGAATGTATTCAAGGGATTCTGCAAATTCCTTGAAATTATTTGTAAGACTTAATGAGTTTCTTGATGTATATGTATGCTTTCTCCTGGGCACCTATAAGTTTTCATCTCTCAGACAGGCCAGGGACTTAAGAAAGGTAGAGACTCTTTGTTCTTTCTTTCCTGGTCAAGTCAGTCTTGGGTATTGCTGCCAAAGCAGTTATTCTGAAATCTCCAGTAGCATTCATTACAGATTCTATTATGATGGATGGATGTTTTACCCTCCTCCCACCCCCTGAATTCCAAAACCTGTAGAAATAGCATGTACAAATTCTTATAGCATGTACAAATTGAAGGAATAGCTCAAGGCTTCCTGGAGTTCATGGTCCTTACCTGAACAAGGAAGAGTGAGTGGAGCAGAAAAGGAAGTTCCTTAATAAAAGGAGCAGTGTGAGCATTGAATAACAGTTTAGTGTTATCAGATGTTCCAAACACTTTAATACCCTTTTTATTCTGACCCTAGCTTATATTTTTAGTCCTGAATCACTGTTAATCACACAATTCTTCCTAAGTTTCAAATGTTCTAGACCTCTCCATTTCCCAAATTACCTGTGTGCCCTCACACTTCAGTTACTTTGTTCATCCTCTTTTCCTTGGCCTTGAATTTCACTTGCAATCAGATAAGGCAGAGAACACATTTGGGACAAAGAAAGTAGGGACTAGATTTGGGCTTGCTGGAAGAGGTGGCCATTGTGGAGCCAGAGATCTTGAACAAAGATGTGCAGTTTATAAGTTTCAGATAGAGAGAGTCAGAACAAAGCTATGAGGCAGGACCAGGTAATCGAAGCCCAAGTCAAGGCATATGCACAAGTAAGCTGTCAGGTCAGAGACTAACACACTGAAACGGGGGACCTGGGCTAGGGAGCAGCACAGCAGGATGAGGCAGAAAGTCAAGAGTCTGGAGCCGGATGTCTTAGAGACTGAGCCATGAAAATAGAAAGAGAAGGACTTTTGTTGACCATCTGTAGTAGTTGATAACTGATTAAATGGCTCTCAGTCCCTGCGTATGCTTATATGTTTCCTATTGTGGTAGGAGCCATACCCAATGTGAACAGCCTGGGACTTGCAGATGGAAACAGGTAATAAGGAGCATTCAGCTCAGATGGAATGTGTGGGCATGAGGAAAACAACTGCTTTGGCAGTGAAATTCTAATAGCTTGGCTACATTTAACAGAGGATGCTTAAAGTGCTTATGGAAAGAATTATTCATTTTTGTAATGCATATAGGGTGGGGCAAAAGTAGGATATTTGTTCACATGGGAATAACACAATAATTAATAAATCTGAATAAAACAGAATAATATCTGTTTTGGGTACTCAAATTGTAAACCTACTTTACCCCATCCTGTACTTGCTGCTGTTAAGCTGGGAAGTGTGTGATTTTGCTCTTTCATTTAAAAATTCTTTAAAGTAAGTACAGATGTAACTTGCGTTATTTTTTTCTTTCTTTCTCCAGAATATGCCAGATCCCCACAACCTTCCAATAGTGGCTGGCTGGAAAAAATACCCACTTTTTTTTGGTACTGCTATATTTGCTTTTGAAGGCATAGGAGTGGTAAGGATTCAGTCTTTATTCATTTATTTTTTTTTACAATTTTAAATCAACACAAAGGTTTATATAGTCTAAATGCATTTAAAAATGTGTTTTTAATTTTTCTATTTTTATTTTTAGAATATGATTTGCATTTCTTAGACATATCACTTAAATTATAATTCTCTTTATTTTAATCTGTAACATGAGGGTAGATGATTTTTAAAAATTTATTATGGGAAATTTCAAACCTATAGAAATTTAGAGAATAACCTAGTTTAAGAAACCATTAACTCATAGCCAGTTTTGTTTTATCTATATTCCATTTATTCTACCAAGCCTGGGTTATATTCAAATCCCAAACATCATATTGTATAGACTAGATGACTTGAAGTGAATTGTAATGGTTATAGTGTTACTCTTTCATAAGAAGAGTCAAATATAAATTCTCCCTTTAGATTTGTGCATATTATGTTTGGTTTGAAAAATAATGTCATTATAAGGGTTACAGGCATCCTGAGGATTTTAAGATCTTAAATATTTCCATTTAGGTTTTTTAAAAGCCTGGAATTGTGTAGATTTGTGGAAAAAAGAATATTGCTATCTTCTCCGTAGCTTATGTTTCAGTCCGATGTTTTTTTATGGGAGCAAAACTACTTATAAACACCTGTTAATATGAAACACAGACAAAATAGATGTAAAAGACAATTTTACACCATTTCACTTGGATTTCTGCTTTCTGAATTCTCCTATAGAGAATTCTCACAAGTTCTTGCAGCTCCACTTATCACGGTTACAGACAATCAACATTTAGATTTTCATGTCTATCTTTACCTACTAAGCTTTTGTTAACTGTTGGATATTTACAGTTCAGTGTTTTGTTTTGTTTTCCTGACATCTCAAATTCAGCAACTTCAGATTTTGACACATACTTTCTTAATGCCTTACTTTTTTACTTCCCTATTTCTCTCGTTTTATTTTCAGTAGCTGAAGCTTGAAACATTGGAATAATTCTTTTCACTCTGTTACTGGTTTCCTAATTCTAGTCACCAATTAAGGCATGTTGATTCTTCCATATTTCCCCAAATTTATTTAGTGAGATTTTATGTAAAGCAACCACAATGCTGCTTGACACAGAGGGAGGCTTCCTAAATGCTAATTCTTCCCCTGCTCCTGTTCTAGCTTCACTGGCACTATTCCTGGTGGTAGCCCTTTATTTCAGGCCTGGATTATGTCCAGAGCATCCAGATTGTTCCCTGTTCTCTCTTCTGTTAATATTTCCAGTTAATATTTCCATATGGATCTGACTTACTCATCTGAAAAGTGGGATAATATTAGAGTTACTATCGCACAGGGTTATTGTGAGGATAATGTGAGATGCTACATGCAAAGCCTTTAGAAAAATGTGTGACACACTGTAAGCTCTCAGTAAATAATTACTAGTATTGTTACTTAGTGTCTTTTACAGTATGGTCAAATCATATGGCCAAAGTCTCTGAAGATTTGCCTAAAAACTTGGTGATTAGCGTTTTTTTTCTTTTCCTTTTCTTTTTTACATAATGAAAATTACTTATTTATCTCACTAAATTAACAGACAGTAGATATAGATGGAAAAATATAGAATCAATTATAGACATGTAAAAATGGGTTACTATAGGTATGCTTTCTAGCACTGCCCCATAAGCAGTGATGCCCCAATAGTAATAAGCACACCGAGCACCCAGATCTTGATTTCTAAATACAATTCTCAACAAAAGAACCAAAATTCCTCGGAGAAATGGCTGAGTCTAGGGCTGAAGAAAGGAAATTCAAGATGAATCTGGAGCATCTTGTAGTGCCGGAAAGTATGGAAGTGCTCAAAAAACAAAAGAATGGAGGCAGGTCAAAGGACACAGAAACCAACCTGATAGAGTTTACAATGACCAAAGCTGGAATAATATGAGTAACAAAATAAATGTTTTGTATTCATATTCAAAGTATATAAATACATGAATCCATATTATTGTAAATTAAGTACATAATTTAATCAAATAAGGGGGATTGCCAAATAATTTATGTAACTGCTCCCTCTCCAGGAGGTGTAGCTTAACCCCCCTAGTCCCTGGAGTGTGGGCTGGCTGCCTTGAATGACTTGCTTCCAAAGAACAGAGTAGGATGAGAGGAGAAGAAAAGACCTTTACAAGCAGAGAAACCCGGCCAGCACTGCCCGAACAAAGTGACCAAAATTAACTTCCCCAGTGTAACTCAGGTTGATTACAAGTGCGATGAGAAGGGCACTTCTCCCCTATGATAACCTTTTATAAAACCTAAAATCCCAGTCTAGTCAAACATCAGACCTAGATAGAGGTACACCATACTATGGTAAATACCCTACCTGAGACTCCTCAGAATTATCAAGATAATGACATGATGAATAAGGAAAGACCAAGGAGCTCTCACAGACCCGAAGAGACCAAGGGGGCATGGTGACAAAATGCAGTGGGGTGTTCTTGGCGGGATGGACACTGGAACAAAAAAGGGACATGTGGAAAATCTAGTGAAATCCAAATAAAGTTTGGAGTTTAATAGTAATGCACCAGTGCTGGTTCTTAATTGTTAACAAATGTACTTTGTGTAAAATGTTAATAAGGGAAAGTGTTGGAATTATTATTTTTTAAACAGGTTTGTCTGCGAAGAGCTGATTTAAAATTTTAAAGAGTTTAAAAATTGGTAGTAATAAAATATGTCAACAATTATAAGTGTTTTAAAGGAAAAAGGTTTTCAGATAAACTACAGAAAGATTAATTTGTATATTTATGACAAGAAACTAGATTGTTTTAAATGATCTGCATTATTTACACTCTTTTTTTTAGGTTCTTCCACTTGAAAATCAAATGAGAGAATCAAAACGCTTCCCCCAAGCATTGAACATTGGCATGCTAATTGTTACAACTTTGTATGTAACATTAGCTACCTTAGGATATATGTGTTTTCAGGATGAAATCAAAGGCAGCATAACTTTGAATCTTCCTCAAGACGTATGGTAGGTAGCTATGAGTATCTTAATCCTAATTTGTATATTATGTAGATATAGTTTGCCAATATTTGATGATAAATGTGAATTCTTGGATTTATAGTTTAAACATGAATTTTTACTGATTTTTTAAAAAATATATTTTGTTGATTTTGTACAAAGAAGAAGGGAGAGAGGTAGAGAGCTAGAAACATTGATGAGAGAGAGTCATCGATCAGCTCCCTCTTGCACACCCCCCACTGGGGATATGCCCACAACCAAGGTACATGCCCTTGACGGAATCGAACTCGGGTCCCTTCAGTCCCCAAGCCGACGCTCTATCCATTGAGCCAAACCGGTTTCGGCTACTGATTTCTTTATAAAAATATTCTAGGTTTCATGAATAATTTTTAGAGTAGACCATCTTTGATTTTACAGGTCTTTGTGGGATTTTTTAAAAAGATAAAACATTGTCGGTTGTTCCAAAATTGAATCAAGTATAAGAGTAAAACATGGATTCTTTTACTATAGACACCTTAATAAAAAGTTTAACATTTATCCTTATGCTAAAATATTTAAAACTCCAATTCCTAATAAAATAATATAACATGGCCTTAGCTGGTTTTACTCAGTGGATAGAGCGTGGGCGTGCAGACTGAAAGGTCCCAGATTCAAGTCCAATCAAGGGCACATGCCCAGGTTTTGGGTTCGATTCCCAGTAGGGGATTTGCAGAAGGCAGCTGATCAATGTTTGTCTCTCATCATTGATGTTTCTCTCCCTCTCCCTTCCTCTCTGAAATAAAAAAACAACAAAACAAAAACAAAAACTAAAGATATGTATGCTTTAAAAAAACAATATAACCTATTACTTAGGTACCCCACTGTTTTACTGATCGGCTTAATATTATATATACCCCAAAATCCTTTCAGAACACAGAGTATATTATAAATAAATAATATGGTGTCTTAATATTCTCTTTAATATTAGAACTATATTCTACTAAATGAAGCAGTATATAGTTTTTTCATTCAGATATTGGTGTCAGACTGCTGGTTTAGGCCCCATCTCTGCAGTTGGACACCCAGCAGTCAGACATCCCTCTCCTAACCACTTGCTTGCCTGCTTGTCTGTTAGCCCCTAACTGCTAGCCTGCCTGCCTGTTCAGTGCATATCATAACAACCAGTTGTTTTGGTTATTTCATTGTAATGGTTGCTTAGGCTTTTAAATATATATATACTAGAGGCCCAGTACACGAAATTTGTGTATGGGCGTGGAGGGTGTCCCTCAGCCCAGCCTGCACCCTCTCCAATCTGGGACCCCTCAAGGAATGTCCGACTGCCCGTTTAGGCCTGTTCCCACCATCCAGGACTGTGGGCTCCCAACTGCTCTTCTGCTTGCCTTCCTGATTGCCCTAACCACTTCTGTCTGCTAGCCTGATCACCCCCTAACCATTCCTGTGCCAGCCTGATTGATGTCTAACTGCTCCCCTGCCAGCCTGTTTGCCCTCAACTTCCCTCCTCTGCTGGCCTGGTCACCCCTAACTGCTCTCCCCTGCAGGGTTGATTGCCTCCAACTGCCCTCCTTTGCAGGCCTGGTGCCTCCCAACTACCCTCCCCTACTGGCCATCTTGTGTCCACTTGGGGGCATGATCTTTGACCACATGGGGGCAGCCATCTTGTGTGTTGGAGTGATGGTCAATCTGCATATTATTCTTTTATCAGATAGAATAGAGGCCTGGTGCATGGGCGGGGGCCAGCTGGTTTGTCCTGAATGGTGTCCCGGATCATAGTGGGGGTTCCCTTGGGGTATGAGGCGGGCTAAGCAAGGAGCATGTAGTGGTTTGCAGGCCAGCCACGCCCTCCGACAACCCAAGTGGAGGCCCTGGTATCTGGATTTATTTATCTTCTACAATTAAAATTGTAGCCTGGAGTGGAACCAAGCTTCCTGCCTGCTCCATGGTGGCAGCCATTTCTATTTGGTTTTATGTGTCTTCTATAATTGAAACTTGGTAGCCTGGAGTGGAGGCTTGGGCCGGCAAGGGTGTGGAAAGCTTTGCTTCTTCCATTGCCAGGGGCAACCCTAGCCTCCTGCTCTTTCCAATTCTGTGGCTGCCACCATATTTGTTTGGATTTGTTTACCTTCTATAATTGAAACTTTGTAGCCTTGAGTGGAGGCTTAGGCCTGAAAGCTTGGCTTCTTCCATTGTCTGGGAAACTCAAGCCTCCCTCCTGCTCTCTGTGGCTGTAACCATCTTGGTTAGGTTTATTTACATACTCGCTATAATTGGTGGGCGTGGCTTGTGGGTGTGGCAAAGGTATAGTCATTTTGCATATTATACTTGTATTATGTAGGCTATTGATCCAGGCAATCAAGGGGTTGAACTCTGAGGAGTTTATTACCTAACATAAAAATTTTTAGGCAAGCATGGACTCAGCAAGAGGTACAACACAGAAATAAATTTAAGGAAACTGGGAAAAAAAAGATTAATTCTGAACTATTCCTTCTGTCCTCTCCTTCACAAATTCTTAATAATCTTCTTCCAATATTAAGGTTGCCTGTAACTAAGAACGCTGGTCCAAACTGCCTCTGCCTTTCCTCATTGGAATGATTATTATTAACTACTAGATGCCCAGTGCCTGAATTCATGGCATCTCCCAGGCTGGCCTGCAGTATCAGGCTAAAACCAGTTCTCCTACATCACCCAAGGGTCCTGGATTGTGAGAAGGTGCAAGCCAGGCCGAGGGATCCCACCAGTGCATGATTGGGGCTAGGGAGGGATGTGGGAAGTTGGCCAGCTGGGACGGGACTGCGGGAGGCTCCGGGGCATGTCCAGCCTGTCTTGGTCTCGCTCAGTTGCAATGGGCAGGATCCTAGCAGCAAGCTAACCTACCAGATTGTCTGCCGGCTGGTGGTCAGTGCACATCATGGTGACTGATCAACTGGTGGTCTGCCCCCTGATGGTTAGTGCATGTCTTAGCGAGTGATTGAGCACCTTAGCATATCATTAGTATGCTTTGATTGGTTGAATGGACTGTATGACCAGACACTTAGCATATTAGGCTTTTATTATATAGGATATTAAATTCAAAATAAAGGGTATATACAAAATTCATTTATCTAGCAGATAACAGGGAATGGCAAAAGTAGGTTTATAGTTGTATGTGAAACAGTGTATTTTTGTATTTATGATTGTATAATTATTGTTTTAACTGTAAGCCTACTTTCGCCTACTACTCCTATATTTATTGTATGCCTTTTGTGTACTGGATATTGTTACAGGCACTAGAGACACAGTGGTGAACAGATAAAAATTTCTTCCTCATAATGCTATATTCTAGTGAACATGCTACAAAATATTAGTGGTTCAAAGCATTCAATCTAGTAATGAATACTAGATAACCCTAGTTGTCTTATTTTTTAGCTGAGAATGAAACGAGATTCTTTATAAGGATTGAAGCTAGTCCTCACAAACGCTTCTTTTCTGTTTAACAGAGCTACTGGTAAACCAAAGATTCTTAATCTGTGTATCATGAAGGGACTAATAGGTACAGTGAGTTATCAGACTATTTTCAGGGGTAGCTTCTGTATTCAGCCTTGAGAGAAAGAATCAGTCAACAACTTATTTCTTAGGTTAGCTTTAAAATTTTTTTTAATATATCCATACCTGTGAATTAAGACTATTGATTTTTTTTTTTTTTTAAACTAATGTGGGGAAAGAATAGAAGCATTGACAGTTTTGAAATCTTGTTTTCAAAACTAATGCTTTTACTGGACAATATTTAGTTGTTTCCCCACCCCAAAATCTAATTTCATATATTGACTGAAAAACAATTATTTAAAAAATAGGTTTCTGCTCTTTATTCGATATGAAGTCTTTTTGCTGCCAGCCTAACAGATTTTGTTTTCAAGCAAGAATCGTTTTATTTTTAAAAATATTTTTTATTGATTTTCAGAGAGTGAAGAAAGGAGAGGGAAAGAGAGGAAAAGAGAGAAACATCAGTGTGAGATGGTAACATCAATTGGCTGTTCCCTGCACACCCTCTGCTGGGGATCAAGCCCACAACCTGGGCATGTGCCTTGACTAGGAATCAAACCAGCAACCTTTCGTTGCATAAGACGATGCCCAACCAACTGACCCACACTGGCCAAAGCCATTTTATTTTTGAAGTATTTTTTTGTGTGATATTGAATGGATATAGTTTCTAAAAATTACTTGTTCATACCCATTTTTATTAATATTAATTTCATATTTAATAAGTATCATTAAGTGCATTGGGGGGTATACAGAGAATAAAACATAGTCTCTAACTTTCAAGAACTTTTAATATACACTACACATTACTTACAAGTTGTTTGATGTTCTTATATGTCCTCAAATTCCTGATTGCAAGGACATTTTTTTATCCTTTATAGAGATGTTTTAATGGGTATATTCTCATTTGGACCCTTATCATAGATGTTCACTTAACATCAAAATGAAAACAAAATTTGAGTAGAGAAAAATAGTTAAGAGTGATTGAAATTACAGATGCCAAACATAAAAATTAGTGGGTTCTCAAAACAAAAAACAAGTAGAAGTAGAACAATTGATTCTAAAAGACTGAAGTGTTTTTCTTAAGCACTCTTATTTCTATATTACTGTTCTTTGGTTGATGATGTGCTAGTACGCCCACTTTCAAAAGAGCCAAACCATTTCATTTTCCCATTTTTGTTCTGTACACCAAAATTATAGTAGTTGCATATAATTAATATTACTAAATAGTATTCATAATAACCAGATTCTTAGCCTGTACAACTTATTATATATCAGCAGAAAAGTAATTATATTTATATGCATAATGATGTAATATATAGTTAACCATATTTTAAAAATATGTAAGTTAAAAAGATAATTAGAAAAAAAGGAATGTTCTAATAAACTAATAAGAACATTCCATTTTCACCATTAGAAAAAAAGGAATGTTCTAATAAACTAATAAGAACATTCAATTTTCACCATTACATTTCAGAGCTTATGAAGCAGGCATCTTTCATTTATTTTATTTCACTAATTTGACCATTTTATTTCACTAATTTGACCATGTAAACTTTAAGCCTCAAGCTGAGAAATATATCTTGAGGTCATTTTAAAGTTAAGGATTTATTGTTACCACCCTTAAGGAGTTCTTTCTTTCCTTAACTATGCTGTTTGCAGTGTTTTCACATCTATTTCTGCTCAGCCTTTTTTCCTTCCTCTTGATGAATACATTCTAGGGAGTCTTTCTTGCTTGGCCACAGTTGAGAGAACTATTTATAATCTTGACTGCTCTGAGTGTTAAGACATCAGAAATAAGGTGAAAGCCTAATTAATGTTGAGGCTTTCTTCACCAATAGTGGAATATTTTATATTCCTTTAAAATGAATGTTTTTTCCTAAGAAAGAAATATAGTAGTCTTTCCCATGCATAGGCCTCTTAGGGGGGAGAGTGGAAGACTGTGGGGTTAGTGACATTTCTGCTGAAAGAGGAGAAACGCCATTACCACCCCCCAGTGCTGTCACTCATTCTATCCAATCTCCTCTCTACTTACTTTCTTACAAAATAAGAGCAATTGGGTTTTTCTTTTGATTGTTATAAAATATTCAGAATTTCAAAAAATACAACACATAATTTTATTACTTATAACCCAAGGGAGTAGGTTCTACAATGATCCTCTGAGTCCTACGATTCTATGTATTCTCTATAATTATCAACATTTCAAATAATCTCTTTTGCCAGATAAAATGTATTTTTTCCAATTTATTAAGACATGCATGCTGAGTTTTGACAGGAGGCTATCTACCATCTAGAAATCTAAAGATGTTGATAAAACTGAACATTGCTGTGCTCTTTTAAAGCACTGGTCATAAAAACATGTTTACTTGGATAAAACAATAACCCAACTCAAATTTATTTCCCTTATCAATGCAACTTTAAAATAGGTAAAACTCCTATATAATCTGGAGAAGTTTGCAAGTTGAAACCATTTAGATAGCCTCTTTTATGACTTAAGAATGGTAACATTTCTGCAACCAATGACACACCTACCAAGATTTTCAAGCAAGGAGAACTGTGTAACTCAGAGTTCAATCTGAAGTTTTTCTTCTATATATAAATGTCTGAGGTATCAAAGACATACAATATGGTCAATTTTTAAAAGGCAAGTTGTAAAAACATTAGCTCTTTTTGGGGCTCAGCCTAAATTTCAGAGCATTGGCTTAGCCTAACATGACATCTTTATAGCAGTATTTCACAGATCTTCACATCCACTATTTTGTAGGTTGTCAGAATGAGTTGTCCACCTATTGTCTAGAAATTTAGAGATCAGCTGGCCTTTTTTTTTTTTTCTTTTAATCCTCACCCTAGGATATATTTTCTTATTTTAGAGGGAGGGAGGGAGAAAGAGAAAGAGAAAGATCGATTTGAGAAACATTGATTAATTGCCTCCCATATGCACTCCAACTGGGAATCTAACTCACAACCTTTCGATCAATGGGATGATACTCCAGCTAACTGAGCTATAACAGCCAGTGTCAGTGAACCTTTTTTTTCCTTTTAAATAATCACGCATTTAATTAATAATATACTGGTCTTAGTTTGTGTTGAATTTCTTATCTATTTTAACATTAAAAATAAAAGGAAGAAATCTAGTTTCATACTAAGATAACAATGTGAATGAACCTCAAAGGCATTTTGCTAAGTGAAATAAGCTAGACAGAGAAAGATAAATATTGCATGGCATCACTTATAAGTGAAGTCTAAAAAAATGTCCAATTCATATGAGAGTAGATTGGCTCCCAGGGGCTGGTGGAAAGAAGAAAGCTCAGTAAAACTTTTAGTTTTAGAATGAATAAGGTTTGAGGATTTACTGTATAACGTAGTAACAATAATTGATAATACTGAATTGTGTGATTGAAATTTGCCAAGAGAGTAGAACCAAAGTGTTATAAATAAAGTAAATATGTGAGGTGATGGGTCTGTTAATTAACTTGCTTGTGGGTACCTTTTCACAATGTATATGCATCTCAAATTATCACGTTGCAAACTTTAAATACATTACAGTTTTATTTTTTAGGTTGTACATCAATAAAGCTAGGGGGGAAAATGAGTAAATTTTGAATTTTTTTTTTTTAACAGGTTGTATCAGTCAGTGAAAATTCTATATTCCTTTGGCATCTTTGTGACATATTCCATTCAGTTCTATGTTCCAGCAGAGATCATTATTCCTGTGGTCACATCCAAATTTCAGGCTAAGTGGAAGCAAATCTGTGAATTTGTGATAAGATCCATCTTGGTTAGTATTACTTGTAAGTATTACTTCACTACATATTTATATCATAACTGTTTTTCATTGTTGAATTTCATATTCTGAAGCAACCTCAAGTATATTTTCAAATATTTTTGAACAATTTTATTCACCTAGCTGGGATACTTGTTGGTTTAAAATTTTATTATCTATCTATCTAAAATAGAGAAATATGCTAACTAACCAGGACGCTGTAATGGGCTGATCGAACAGGAGGAGGTTGTATGCATGTCAGCGATGTGTGGCAGGGGCCTCCGGGCACCTACGCTGGGTGAGGGTCTGATCAGCAGCGGTTGTGGCTGCTTCAGGGGCCAGAGAATGAGGCAGGGCCTGATAGGCCATTTGAGGGTGGCAGGGACCTGGGCTCCTAGTTCTATGTAAGAAAAACACAACCAGATACTATCATACTTAGAAGAACTAGTCAAAGTATTATTTTGAAAATGACATCAGTGATGATTAAAATATAAATATATTTAAATCAAATGCATAAAGGATCCTTTATATTGTTGATATACATTTTACTATGGTTCTAGTTTTCCTCAGGTTTTTTTCCTGCTAACATTTATATATTGAACAGTTAAACTCTCCATGACTATTTATGGGAATGGGCTTTGTTTTGATCTTTTTTATGACAGGGAGCTTGGTATACTGGAGGGTGTGAGTTGTGGAGTCACACTAACCTGATGGTTCAAACTCAGTCCTACCACTTCCTGGCTGGTGTCTTTAGGGAAGTTGAAAACCACCTTTGAACTCCCCTTTCCACAACTGTGGCATTTTTGTAGAGTTTAAAAATATTAACAAGATAGCTAGAAGTTATTATTGTCACTATATTATAACTATAAAAAGAAGGATAACTAACACTGAACTAATTAATGGGATTGCCTAGAATGACACCAAGGACCAGGCTACTTGTGTTCTGGGGAACAAGCAGCTTTGGAAATTCTGTGGAAGATATTGGTAACCATGTTGGCCATTCAAGGTTAGAGGGAGAGTGTTAGGGCTTAAAATTTTGGGTAACTCTGTAAATTGCATTGAGCAGTTTGGGGTGGAGCTTATGCCTAACTGTAAAGAATTGAATGCATTACATTTTGTCTAAAGGAAAAGCAAAGCTGGTTAAAGTAGATAAAACTTATGTTCAAAGCAATCATTTATTGTTATTAGCATACAATATTAGTTTCAGGTGTACAGCTTAGTGATTCCACATTTATATATCTTATGATGTGCCACCTATTAGTAACTATCTGTCATCATGCAAATTTATCACATTATTATTGACTATAATCCCCCTCACCTTCTCACCCACTCTAACAACCACCACCCCCAACAACCATCAGTTTGTTTCTTTTCATCTGTTTTTGTTTTTAAAAAATTCCACATATAAGTGAAATCATGTGGTATTTGTCTTTCTCTTTCTGACTTACTTCACTTAGCATATACCCTCTAGGTCCATTCATGTTGTTGAAAGTAACAGGATTTTTAAAAAAAATTTTTTTTATTGATGGGTACTTCATTATCCATTAATTTTCATTATCCGTTCATCTGTCAATGGACACCTCGGTTGCTTCCATATGTCATCTATTGTAAACAATGCTGCAGTGAATATAGGAGAACATGTATCTTTTCTAATTAGTGTTTTCATTTTTTAAAAATAAATGGGATCAAACTTGTGGTCGAAGGGACAATTTGCATATTAGCTTTTTATTATATAGGATAGTATAGTTTGACATCAGGATGTGTGATATCTCCAACTTTGCTCCTCTTTCTCAAGAATGCTTTGGCTATTTTTTTTGTGTGTGATTCCATATAAATTTTAGTATTATTTGTTCTAGTTCTGAGAAGAATGTCATTGGTATTTTGATAGAAACTACATTGAATCTGTAGATTGCTCGGTTAAATTTATTCATGTATTACTACATTGAATCTGTAGATTGCTCGGTTAAATTTATTCATGTATTTTCTTTTTTGTTGTAACTATAAAATGGGATTTTATCAATTTTTCCTTGTGATTGTTATTAGTATTCTAGAGGGTCCTAGGCCTGGCTGGCAATCAGGGCTGATTGGGGACCCGCAGGCTGCCAGCTGGGGCCTTCCTTTGTTCCACGCCACCTCCTGGTGGTCAGTGCACATTATAGTGAGCAATTGAACTCTTGGTTTCCCGGTTGAACTCCCAAGGGGACACTTTGCATATTAGCCTAATATAGATATATAGAAACACAACTGATTTGTGTAAATTAATTTTGTATCCTGTAACTATATTCAATTCATTCTATTAATTTTTTGGTGGTTTCTGAATGATTTTCTGTATAGAATATCATGTCATTTGCAAATAGTGATAGTTTTACCTCTTCGTTTACAATTTGGATGCCTTTATTTCTTTACCTTGTATGATAACTGTGGCTAGGACTTTTAGCACTATATTGAATAATAGTGGTGAGAGTGAGTATCCTTATCTGTTACTGATCTTAGAGGAAACACTTTCAACTTTTCATCATTTAGTATAGTTTCAACTTTTCATCATTTAGTATAGTTTCATCATTTAGTATAGTTTCAACTTTTCATCATTTAGTATAGTTTCAACTGTGAGCTTATCATATATAGCCTTTATTATGTTAAGTTCCTTTTATGCCCACTTTGTTGAGAGTATTTATCATAAAGGGATGTTTTGTCAAATGCTTTTTCTGCATCTGAGATGATCATATAATTTTTATTTTTGGTGTGATGTATAATGTTGTTTGGAGGATATTGAGTCATCCTTTCATTCCCTGGTATAAATTCCACTTGATCATGGTGCATAATTCTTTTAATATATTGTTGAATTTGGTTTACTGGTATTTTATTGAGAATTTTTGCATTTATATTCATCATGGTTATTCACCTGTAATTCTTTTTGTTCGTATCTTTGTCTAATTTTGGTGGTATGGTAAAAGCTGCCCTCATAGAATGAGCTTGGAAGCAGCCCTTCCTCTTTAATTTCTTTGAATAGTTTGAGAAGGATAGGTATTAATTATTCTTTAAATGTTTGGTAGACTTCACCTGTGCTTTGTTTGTTGGAAGTTTTTCAGTGACTAATTCAATTTCATTGCCTGCTCATATTTTCTATTTTTTCCTGGTTTAGTCTTGTAAGTTTGTTTCTGGAAATGTATCAATTTCTTCGAGATTGTACAGTTTGTTGGCATATAATTGTTTATGGTATTCTTTAATTTCTTTAATGATCCTTTGTTTTCTGTGTTGTCTGTTCTCTCCTTTCATTTCAGATTTTATTTGGGCTCTTTTTTCCTTGACGAGTTTGGCTAGATATTTGGCAATTTTACTTATCCATGGAAAGAATTAGCTCTGAATTTCATTGTTTTTTTTCTAATTTTTTGGTCTGTATTTCATTTATTTCCACTCTGATCTTATTTTCTTCCTCCTACTTACTTTGGATTTTCTCTATTATTCTCTTTCTAGTTCCTTTAGATATAAAGGTAAATTTCTTACTTGGTAATTTTCCTGTTTTTTGAAGGCCTGTTTAGCTATGAATTTCCCTTTTAGAACTGCTTTTGCTACCTCTCATACATTTTGGAAGGTTGAGTTTTCATTTGTCTCAAGATAGGTTTTTGGTGTTGTTAATTCTCACTTAGGGGTACTTTCCCATTGATTTTCAGAAAGAGTGGGCAGGGAGGGTGGTTAGAGACATCTATGTGAGAGACATATCAATTGGTTGCCTGCCTCCTGCAGCATCACGACCAGGGCTGGGGATTCAGCCTGCAACTGAGGTATGTGCCCCTTGACTGGAAGTAAACCCAAGACCCTTCAGTCTGTGGGCTAATGCTCTATCCACTGAGCCAAACTGGCTAGGGCTCAAGGTAGCTTTTAATTTCCTATTTCATTTTTGTCTTTGACCTATTGGTTATTATGTTATTTAAATTTAATGTATTTTATCCAGTTTCTTCCTTTAGTTGATTTCTAGTTTTACACCATATGGGTCAGAAAAGGTGCTTGATAATGATTTTAGTGATTTGAATTTATTGAGGTTTGTTTTGGGTCTAATATGTGGACTCTCCTGGAAAATGTTCCCTATGTACTGGAGAAAAATGTGTATTCTGCAATTTGGGGGTGAAATGTTTTAGAAATGTCTATTAAGTCACTCTAATGTGACATTTAAGGCCATTATTTCCTACTAATTTTCTGTCTTACTCTATCCATTAAGGTAAGTGGGATATTAAAGCCCCCAACTATTATTTTATTACTGTTAATTTCTAGCTTTTTTGTCCATTAATGTTTTATATTCTTGGGTGTGTCTATGTTGTGTGCATAAACATTTACAATTGTTATATACTCTTCTTGGATAGACCCCTTTAACATTATGTAACATTATGTAATATTCTTTGTCTCTTTTCAATCCTTTGTTTTAAAGTCTATTTTATCTGATATGTGTATTGCTACCCCAGACCTCTTCAATTTCTATTTGCAGGGAATATCTTTTTTCATAACTTCATATTCAGTTGGTGTGTCTTTTGACCTAAAGTGAATCTCATATAGGCAGCATATAGATGGGTCTTGTTTTTTTAATTTATTCTGCCATGCTATGTCTTTTGATGGGAGCATTTAGTCCATTTACATTTAAAATAATCAAGAGGTATGTACTTATTGCCAATTTGTTGTTTTTAATTTTTTTTTTTATTTCTGTTGATTTCTTTTGATATGCCAGTTTTCTTTAATTAGTGTTTTGTTTGGGTTTCTTTTTATTTTTGGTTACTATATATCCATTTATATCTACAGCAGTCTGTTTTAAGATCATATGTGTTTAAGTTCAAACATTCTAAAAGTACATTTTTACCCCTCCACACACACTCAAATTTATTAATGTCATGTTTTATAGCTTTTTGTTTGTGTATTCCCTATTATAATTGTTTGTTTTGCTAGTTTGATCTTTTTAAGTGATGGATTTACTGTTTATTATATATTTGCCTTTACCTCCCTGTATTTTCTATTTCTGGTTATTGTCTTTTCTGCATAAAGAGGATACCTTACCATTTCTTGTGAAGCTGTTTTAGTGGTGAACTTATTTCATTTTTGTTTGTCTGGGAAGCGCTCTCTCTTTGGGTTCTAATAACCTTGCAGAGAGGATAGTAGTCTAGATTGTAGGCTCCTTTTTATCAGTCTTTAAATATTTTCTGCCACTCCCTTCTGGTGTGTAACATTGCTGCTGAGAAATCAGTTGAGTGCCTTGTGGGGATTTCCCTTGTAAGAAACAACTTTTGCCATTTTAATTACAATACGTCTTGGCAGGGTTCATCTGGTTTGGGATTCTCTGTGCTTCCAGAACTTAGATGTCCCTTTCCTTCTCAGATTAGGAAACTTTTCAGTCATTATTTCTTCAATATACTTGCTGCCCCCTTTTCTGGGAATTGATATAATGTTGAGTGCTTGATGTTGTGTCAGAGATCCTTCTCATTTTTAAAAATTCTTTTTTCATTTTGCTGATTAGGTGCTTTTCACTTCTTTTTCAGATCACTAATCTGTTCTTCTGTGTTAACTAACCCATCTAATGTGTTTTCCTTTTCTCTATTGTACTCTCAACTTAGTTGAGTATCCTGTGACTGTTAAATAATTGGCCAGATAAAAAACTTAATCTGTTTCAGTTTATCTCCAGGTTTTATTGTTTGCTTATTCATTTGGGGCATATTCTTCTGTTTCCCCATTTTGTTTGATCTCTCTCTCTCCCAATCTTGAAAAAATGGTCTTGTTTAAAAGTGGCCTCAGTGTAAACTCATTGGGGGGAGGAGGGGTGATTTCTGGGATGCTGTCTGGCCTGAAGTTGCAATTTCCAGGTGGTGTAGCCTAGTGTGTATGAGCTTTCCTGCTGTGCCAGGTGGGGCAGTCCTATAGGTTTGTGCTACAGCTCCCTGCTGATTCTGCTTCTGATCTAGGTAGGGCATCCTGGTGTGTGGAAGAGGGGAGGGAAGGGGCTGAGGCAAGCCCTTTTGTTTTGACTGCTGCTGGCCTGGGTTGGGAGCCCTGTGTAGACCTGAGGTGCAGCAGAACTCTCCCTCTTACTGGGGGTGAGTGAGTACTTTCTGCTATGCATACAAGGCTTACCCTATTGTTTTGATCGACTGTCTTGAGAGCCTGGTCAGAGATAGAACACCCTATAAACACAATCACCACAGCACCAATTTCCCTCTCTCTAGACATGGATGCATGAGCTAGGCTCTCATGGTTCTGCTTTTGCTCCTAGTGGGTCAGCCCAGGGCGTGCTTGCAGCTGTGGCCTGGTAAAGGGGAACCTCTGCACCCTGTTGGGCCTGTTGGTTATAGCTCCAGATGTGTGTGGGGGGGGGTTTGGGGGTAGGACGGGCTGTGCATACCTACTGTGGCTCATTCTTGTTTCATGCTGGAGTTAGCTCTAGGAGGGCTGGCTGGAGATGTGTTACTGCAGCCTTGAAGTTCAGCCAGAGCACCTAATTAAGCTCCTACTGAGCTATCCAAGTGCAGAGGGTATGTAAACAGTGGTGCTTACCAGTTCCTTCATTCCTGATGGGTTCCATGAGATTTCTGGTGGACTCCAACAGTTCCTTACTCTTCTTTTTGTAGTCTTTCTCTAGTTTGTCATTCAGTTGTCTCTCAGAAGGAATTTCTGTAAACACAGGTGCACATTCAGGCATTTGGTGTCTTCATGGGAGGGGGCAAACTCCATGTCCTCTTTCACCCTCATTTTGGACCTGCCTCCTACAATTATTAAAACCAAGAAATTAACATTAATATAACACTAATTAATCTGTAGACCATTTTACCAGTTTTGTCTATTTTCTGATCCAGGAACCAGTGCAACATCTCACTTGATTTGTCATGTCTACATAGTTTCCTCTAGTCTTGACACTTTTTGTCTTTCATTTGAAATGTCCGTAATATTATAGAATTTCCTTCAGTTTGGATTTGTATGATGCTTTCTTATTAGATTGAAGTTAAGCATTTTTAACAAGAATTCCATAGGTGAATTCTCAATCGTGTGATACTATCGTGTGATGCACTTCTCAATGCATCACACGATAGTATCAATTATGTTTTATTAGTGATGTTAACTTTGATCACTTGGTGAAGGGTGTTTGAGAGGTTTCTCCACTATAAAGAAACTCCTTTTCTCTTTATAAGTATTTTGTAGAGAAATACTTTTGAAATTATGCAAATATCTTGTTCTCTACAGTTTTCGTCCACCAATTTTTGTACAACAGTTATCACTGTGGTGTTTGCTTAATATTTTGTATTTCTATTGTTCCTTCTATCACACCACCTCATCTACAGTTAACTGAATGGAAGAATAATCTATCCAAACTTCTTTGTCCAGAATCTCACAGCAAAATATTAAAAGTTCTTTATATAATAAAAGTTCTTTATATAATAAATTCTTACAAGTGAAAGTTCAAGAAATGTCACCATTTTGTCTGTCTTCCTTTTTAGCTCAACAGATTCTCCCATAATCAGTAGTGCCTACTTGCATTAACTAACTTTAATGTAATATATTGAAAATATCTATAGTATTCATGTCAGTAATAACTATTTAAATAAAGACATTTCCATTTACCAGGTGCGGGAGCAGTTCTGATTCCTCGTTTAGACATTGTGATTTCCTTCGTTGGAGCTGTGAGCAGCAGCACATTGGCCCTGATCCTCCCACCTTTGGTTGAAATTCTTACATTTTCTAAGGAACACTACAATATATGGATGATTCTGAAAAATATTTCTATAGCATTTACTGGATTTGTTGGTTTCTTGTTAGGTACCTATGTAACTGTTGAAGAAATTATTTACCCTTCTCCCAGAGTTATATCTGGTATGCCACAAAGTCCCTCTCTAATGAATTCAACATGCTTCACATCTGGTTTGAAATAGCTGACATGGAATTGAGTCTTCTACTTTTGTCTCCGTTCTGAAAATGATTAAAATAAGAACTACTAGAACACATTGCCATATACTTAAAAATAGAACCAAACTGTTTTCTTTGGCGGAATATTGATATTTTGGCAGTAAATTTCAATTCTTTACCAACAGTGGTGAACTATTACAGATTCTTGGTTTTAAATATTAGAAATAAAATTAAAATGTTAAGTAATTAAAAGACTTCTGTTATTCTTCATTCAGTCAGAAATGCTTTAACCAAGATCCTTTTATCCTCATGCTACTATTTGCCATCCAGTTGAAGAGAGAACAAGATTCAATACTAAGAGAATTAAAAGATGTAAGTAAAACTCCAGACCATTCCAGTGAATGTCAAAGCATACTCTGAATAATGTAAAAATATCTTGATTATTTTTTTTTTAATTATTACTAGAGAGCCAATACTTATGATTAGCCTCTGGAAGTTTAGAAAACTCTCACTAACCATAATGTTAGCACCAGAAATCCATAAAATCTGAATTATTCTTACAATATTCTGTCTTGGTAGTTGATCTTCATAATGACAGCTGCAAGGGCACCCTACAAGATTTTGAAAAAGACTTTAAAGGTTACCCAATACAATTCCCTTATTTTTACCTGAGGAAATTAATGCCCAGAATGGTTAAGTAACTTGGTCAAGATCACTCAGCCCTGAAATCAAGATAACTTTTGATTCCTAGTCCAGAATTTTTTATTTCTCACATCACATCTATGAAAAAGAATAAATTCAGTTCAGTTTAACTTTAGTGTTGAGTCCATTTAATTATTTTTAATACTCTGAAAGCCGGTGATCTTTGAATAGCACATGTGACCTGAGTAGAAAATCAGAACTCTAAAAAGCCTGCACTTCAGCCATATAAACCTCAACAAGGAAAAGCAGCAATTAAAAAAAACCACTTGCTAGTTTAATTGCTGGCTGTTAGAGGTGCCAAGCTCTATTATTTCTTCTTTTCGAGGTTGTTTTAGGCACTATCCATTATTCTGAATGGCAGAAAATCGATATCTGACAAAAGACAGGATTTTTTTTTCCCCACTGTTTCCTGTCCTGTGGTTTTCCTTTTATTGATCAGAATGGGCAGAATAAACAAAAAGATATTCATGCTTAGGAAAATAAAGACAACAATAAACTGTCTACTAAACATTTCTGTTTCTTCCAGAGAAATACTTCTATTCCATGTTCAAGCCCAGTTAGGCAAAACTCAATTGATATGGAGGATTAAAATTAAATGTAAAACTAAGAATCCTGCTTTTTAAAAATTTTATAATTTAAAAACATGTTGAACTTTTTAATCAGGCTGGTGGTACTCTAATTTGTAACACTACAAGACATCAAGATCACTGTCGTATACTATATATTCTATATTTTTATATGTAAATGTTAACTTAGTTCAAGTATATTTTGCTTATATCATGAATGAATCATCAAGTAAAATCCTAAAGAAATATTAGTAGCTTTATTTTGGTACAAATTCATATGAATCAAACTCTTTTTAAAATATTTGCATTGAATAATACCAATAATTGTTTGTGATACTTTTATGTCAATGTTATGTTGAACATTTAGTCATATGGAGAAGATATGAAAGAAGTTATAGGAAAAGTAATTATCATGGAAACTAGTGTTATATAATTTTGAATCTAAGAATAAATCAGGCGTTCTAAAAAAGTTTAATGGTATGAACTGACTTGAAAACCATTATTTAATAGAAAGCACTATTAAGTACTATTAAGTTTTTGTCAGCTGTTTTTAATATTTCTAGTCCGTGTGTGAAATTTTATTTTTATATGTTCACCTGTTTTCCTTATCTAATTCAATGACAATTTGATTAGTTTATTATAGTAACAGATAAAATTTAAATTCAAATGAATGTTGAGCACATTATTAACCATGCTTTCTCATGCAATGAGTGCTTAACTGACATCCTGTACTTAATTCACTAAATTAGCAATACTTTTGGTACAAGGAAAAGTTGAAATGCAGAAAAGAAGAGGGGCTAAAAAGGGAGAAAGTAGTTTTAATTCTTAAGAGGAAACATGATTTAGATGTAAATAATAAATGTATTCTTATTTACGGATTCTTTAATCATGTGTTTTATTTGTAAAAAATCATTGGGCAATATTTTTCCTCTGAAAATGTAGTTTTAATGAGTCATAACATTTTCTAAAGATTTTTAGAGAAGATATTTTTATTAGACAAGCTTTTGCTTTCATATTAGGGCCTGGAAAAATGAGAGTGATTGCACCTGCCAAATTTTTGTTTGGTATCTTTGCTCCATTACATTATGGCTAAAATTACTTCAGCATTTCATGTGCCATCACCATAAAGTCTCCTCTTCTCTGAAAGCTGACCAGGTGCCTGAGAGCCTTTCCTAACTGTAGTGAGGGGAGAAAAAAGCTTTTCTTATCTCTGATACCCTCTGTTTTAAGCTATAATTAGTCCTTTACATTCAAAAGGGCTTCACCAGTTTTAAAATTGACTTGTCAAAACACTGGTTCTCAGAGATATTTTTTATCAGAGGATTTTTTCCTGACATGGCCAAACTTCTCCACAGTAAATTAAGAACTAGGGTTTTTTCTTGGTTAAAGACCAATTTGTATGGTATTACCATTTGTATGGTGTTACCAAATGAAAGAGGTTTTGTATTAGCAAGTGCCACATGTTTTAATTCCTTATTGGACAGAATTAAAACCATTTCTGCCTCTCACTTAGGATGCACTTAGCATTTTATAAGCATTTTATGCAATACGCATGTTGTAAGTTTCTTAACAAGACCTAATTTCATAATACAGAAAAGCTGTCTAACTACAAAATACTCTAAAATATTACTTGAAACATTAATTGAAGTTTTACATTAGTGCCATGTCTTGTTGTGGCAAAGCACAGATCTGTCTTTAGCTGTAGACATCAGAAGGCACAGCATCAGAATAATACATTTACTGCTATCTATACCCACTGGGTCTTGGCCTCAGTTCTCTCTCTAAAGGAAGAAGATACAGAATATAGATCATGGAAATAAGTAAAATACACACCAGTGGCTCAATGAATGTTTTCTGTTGAAGAAAAAATAATTTGATAAAAATATAGACCATTGATAATATGAGTTTTTAAAAAAAACTGAGTCTATTTTTAGTTTCCTGGCTCAACTAGTTTCCCTTCATGAAAATCTGAGGAATTTTGATTTAAAAAGTATAACCATATACTAATTAACATTAAATGGCTGACTAATAATTAATACTTTAGCAATATTATGGTTAATCTGGTTTATGCCACTAGTGTTCACCAGGCTAAACAACTTTCTACAAGTGATTGGTTTTACCAAGGAGATAAGAAAACATGCTTAAGAAATGTCTAGGAATGCTATATATTGTTCTATGATAAATGGTAAATATTCTTAAAAATTAGCTAGTTCTTCTGCACACACATCAGTGATTTATTTGAACTAGATACTAGATACTAATATACCATTTAAACTGGGTCCAGAAAAATGATGTGTTGAAGTATCACTCTGAAAATTATTCTGTTAGCATTTTCTTGATAATAAATAGGAAAACACATGTTTATGCCATAAAGAAATTAAACTGGATTTTTATTTTTCAAAATAATTGTGTTTGAGTGAAAACTAGATGTAACTGCACTTGAGTTAATTCTTTGTCTTTTAACTTATTTTTCTGAAGAACTGTAACTTCTCAATTTTCAATAAAATATATTATTTTGCTTGCAATGACTTTTAAAATAAATTTGTCCTATATAAGGTTAAGAGACATTGACAAATGTCATAGCTGAAAATGGCATTAGTATGTATAATATTCTCATAACATTTTAATAACTTTTTGTGGTTAATACTTTGTCAGGTGGCCCTCAACCTTAGAGCTAAATTATGTACCTCTAAGAGCAGATGTTGATTAAAAATGAAAAGACATACGGTACTCAAAACCATGACCTGGATGGACTTCCTACAGAGTAAATGTAGAATGAGCCGTCAGCAAATGCTGCATTCATGATTTAAGGTCAAGTAGTAGTAGTAGTACATGCTCTTGGCAAACAACAGAAGGAAAACAAAGACAAAAAAACATGGGGGTAGGGTAAGACTTAGGTATACAGATATATAAATCCAATGAAATTAACCACTTTGTAAAATTAATTTTAGTGATGGTTTTATGCACAAGGTATATATAGAATGGTTATTTTTAAACATATATACACAAGCTTTCAAAATTTTGCATAGAATTGATGGTGTTCACATTTCAGGGGATCCACAGACCTGAGGGGAAAAGTTTCTTGGGAAAAGATAAATCAGTATTTGAAGGATGGATTTGGTTTAGAGTTTCCCATAAAGGTAGATTTGAAGGCTTAAAATGTACGAGGGAATCAGGTCCTTTGGTCGTCTTAGTTTTCTGGTGCCATGAAGCACAGGCCCACGTGGTAGCAAATACTCAAACTAAAGCAAATACGTTAATTTTGCTTAGGAACTAGGGAGTGATTTTGCTATATCCTCCATCGTGGATCTTTCTGTGGGCTGAAGGACAAGGACTAGATACTATCTAGCATGCACTGAGCAGAGAGGAATGGTATGGATCAAGATAGAGCAGGTCTAGAGCAGAGCAAGAAGTAAACCAAAAGACTGGACAATACAGAAACAAGCACCTGAAGATGATGCACTATAATATCTTGTATCTTAGCTCATGCATCTAATAGTACTTCACAGAAGCACAGAATAGGCACTAGAAAATCTGATTTTGACACGTAAGTCTTCTCTTCCTCCCCAATCTCAGTATATAAAGACCAAGCTCCTTAATGTGGTCTCCCCTGCAAGTTATAGCAACACCAAAGTTCTGATTGTATCATACCACAAACATCCCCCATATACTTTGCACTACTCCATCAGCCCTCATTCTGAAACAACCCTTCTACTCCCTACCCAATTTTTTTCCTGGCCAATCCTTAGCTATTAAGA